CCATATCCTATAGTTCACAGCAGGCTGCACAGCATTTTGCACTTTCACTGACCTCGGGAGCCGCGCGTGAGCAACTAGACTGCAAATGGAGGCTGCGAGGAAGGGTAGGGATGGGGCTCATTCTTGGAGTGGGGACCGCCAAGGACAATGCGCAATTCGAATAGAAACACGTGAATTAAAAGAATAATCTGCTAGATGACGGACTGTTGTGTACAGTTCAAGTAATATTGCCTTTCGGATTGTATTGGAAATGCTTGTGGTCGGTCGTTGACAACGTGAAATATGAACCTAAAGCGAATTAGCATTCTCTCGGCTATACGGGTCGAGCGGCGTCACTCACATCAGGCAGAAGCAGGCGTTGTGCAGGTCTTGCTCGGAGATAAGAGTACATTTGCTACTCGCATAGATTTCGTTTTTGTTTCAAATTCACAGTTTTAATACATTTTAATCACTTTAAATTACAATACGTTCGTAAAATTGTTATATATTTGCGGAGCATTTAAAACAATCGGTTATCTAATTAGTATTTCGATTCATCTCCAACTATTCACTCTACTCATGCAAAAGTGTTCACTGTAAAATATAATATTATGACTTCGATTTTTTTGACTGAACATGTAATTCATTCACAAAACAAAAAATGAATTATTAAAGGAGAACACAGATACAACGAAACAGTTTCAAACATTTTAGAATTAACCGACAAACAGTAAAATGGGGAATCTATGTCAGTTTGTCATTTGATAACCAAATTCAGTATTGTTGAATATTCAGTACTACTGTTATTGTGCCAGTATTTCAACGAGAAACGTTAAACCATGAGAGACTTCCATCATAAATTCACAAGTAGGCCTTTAGAATTGGCACAGAGTTGAAAACCAAAATGAATTTCAATTTTTATACGATTCCATGTAAATTGATATTTGCGACCACAAAACTTGTGAACGAAACGAGTTGTGTATACTCGTAGTAGTCGGTGCTAATGTTGTATTTTGTGTATTTTTATTTTACCAGTTCAGCCTAAAAAAAGCACTCTGATGTTTTCAAAGCCATACGTCATCCCACTCATTTTATGAATCGCTGCTCACACTGCACCTCACGCCGCTGCGCTCTTTGTTCTGCCAACCGTCAAAAGAGCACACAAATTAAAACAGGAGGGAACAGTCGAAGCCTTCGTTTTTCAACCAAACGGAACGCCGCGCCGCCACCCTCTCGCGGTGTTCCCGAAAACTACACGGCGCTTCCCACAATCCCCCGCGGCACACCAGCGCCACAACGCGGCTCTCCCTGCGCGGCCAGCTCATTAACTACAGGTGGGCCGGGTAAACAGCAGCGTTCCGCAGTTTAATGCGCAGTGCAGCACGAGCCGACTCTACAGAGAAAACAATAGTGCTTTGCAATGGCTGCTATTTGTATGACACTTTGTCAAAGAGACAATTCTGTTGTAATCTTGTATGGGTTTAGAAAAAAATTCTGTAGTAATTTCAGTGTTTTTAACTCTGTATTGTCAGAGGCACACCCAGGATTTCTGTGTGTGTGCAAGTGTGTACATGTGTATATGTGTGTGTGTGTGTGTGTGTGAGGTATTAGATGTAGTGTCCAGCCGACTTGATGATTTCTTATAATACCTATATTATAATACTTATATTTCCTGTTTATAGTGAGTTTAAAATGATACTTCTTGGCTGTCCGTGTGCCACCGCGTAGTTGTTTCAGAGGCCGAGGTTTCGCCTGTCCAGTCGTAGTGGCACTGCCCTGAGGAAGCCTGCGACATGACAGGCGAAACGCCGCCCTCTCAGCCAACTACGTGGCGCCACCTGGACGGCCAAGAAGTCACGTACTCGAGCCGCGGAAGCTTAGGCTAAAACCAAGTGGCTGAAGTGAGCGCCATAGTACTTTCCACACTGACATTGATTACAGATTGTTTTTAATTTTAATAGATGGCATTTGAGAAAGGCTTTCTAAGAATTATATGATGGAGGGATGTAACTACATTGACTTATCTGTACTTTGTATATATCAAAGAATTTGCATGATACACAATATAAACAATTCTCTAAAAGTGAATTATTTTTCATAAAATTAATTACGTTTTTCATTAAATGTCAATGACTTTCGAAGAATACTCGTGGGAATTCAACGAAGAAACGTGCGGAAAAGGATGGGACATGGTTCTGGGGTCCTTTGTGAGCGGCTGAGCTGTACGTGCTTTCCATAAACTTTCGCGGAACATCAGGGCGACGACAGCGCTGCCCTAGTGGTGCGGCGGGCTCATTAACTAGGCGCCGCGCCGCGGGCGTCCATGCTCTTATCGGCAGCGGTGGTCCAGTCCAGGAGGGCGAGAGGAGGGGGCGCACCCTAAACTTGTTGGCGGAGTGGATCGGCGTCGCCCGCCCGCGCGCGCGCCGGGGCACAATGGGCCGATAGCGGGCGAAACGCAATTTGTCAGATAAGACTCGGCGACAATGCAGCTGGCGGGAGCGCTGGCTCGCCCGCGCGTTTTTACCCTGCCGGCGGCGGCGGTGAAGGCGCCACTGGCTCAGGCAAGGGCTGCCAACCCCCGAGGGTAACCGCGAGCGCTTCTCTCGGGGGATGCCCGCCGCCGCAGCCGATAGCAAGTGAATGCGGCCCTCGCCTTCAGCCACGCGAGCGAACAGGCCGGCGAAGTCGCGAGCGAGGGGACCCAAACAGCCTGGAGGAAGCGTGCGTAAAGAAAATGGTAGGATACAGTGGTGGGTAGAAAAAGTACGAATCAACAAGCGTGCTAGAAAAAGAAAAGGTATGAAAATTCGAGGGCTGCATTGAAAGTTTTGGCCTAACTGAGAGAATGTGGGGGTGAGTGACTGGCGTAAACAAGGAATTTCACTAACTGGAATAACTGCAGACAAGATGGTACATAAACTGCTAATACAATCCGAGAAATGAAGTAAAATAAAAAGTTAACAAAATTTGTTTTTATAGACAAAAATGTTGCCTCGTAATCCCTGAGTGTCTCTTTAACAAATGAAAAGGTGCATAAGAAAAAGTGTCCCATTGAATTTAGATTGTATAAAAACGGTGCTAAAACAACTGATTCACATTATCGTTCAATATTTCACTCTTTAGATTGAATAATAGAAATGGAAAAAAATGTATCAGAGAATTGAATGCAAATGACTTTGTATGATTTTAGAATTCAGGCAAATTCACCAAATAGTATTACCCTGACTTTTTGACTATACAGTGCAATGCGAGCAATGAAACTGATTCATCCCAATAACATTTATCTGTCCTCACTATTTATTAAACTAAAATATTGTCACTGATGGTACAGTAATTTCTGTGAAGTCATAACAAAAACATGTTGGATTCGTCATTTTGTTTCTGTGATATTATTATTATTGTCAATATATTTAAATTTGGTGCAATTTAACAGAAAACGTAAGAAAACGTAAGTACGAATATTATTTGATTATGTAAGAGATACATGTAGCATTTTGAGCGTGAGAACGATATTTATACTTTTTATTATTTAGCACGATATCGGTTTACTTTATTTGTAACGATTACAAAATTCAGGGACAAACATAAAAATATACAGTACCAACGCGAATCTGGCGTTTGGTGAATAGGTGAAGGAAGAGGAGACAGCGACTAGACGAGCAGAAACGGGCCTGGCAAATGAGATCCACGAGAGAACGTTGGCGGTTAGGCAGGGCGGCTAGAAGAGCGCTCATGACGCGCACCAGTGACTGAGGGAAATCCTTACAAAAGGATATTCCCTTGAAGTGCTGCGGCCCGCAGGCTACAGAATGCGTTTTCCACTCGTTGCTAATGGCATACGAGCACTGCACATCGGGAAACCCAGGAGGTGGGGCGTGAGTGTACTTCATCTGAGAGAAACATTGGCCGCTCGAGGTTCGATAACAGCGCTTCGTGTTCTGCTTGGAATTGTTTCAAGGCAAATATTGCCCTTTCACGACTCACCGCGTTTACAAGGCTTTTCACCCACATTTACGCATTTGCTTGTTCTGTGTGTAAGATTTTTTTCATACGTGAGTGTGTGTCACTTCAAAAATTTTTTGAACGAGCAAACATTAACTAAGTGCACCCAAGTATACTAAATTCTACGTAATTAGTGTGTCATTTAATTACCTGCTTCACTTCAAATGTCTGTGATGTTTGTTGGAAACTTCAAGCACTCTTTTCGCACAATTACAGGGTTACATGTCGAGGTTCACATGAAATACATAGTCTATTATACACACACTGAACATCAAATGTCATTCTACTGGAATAATGTTTATCTTTGGTTTATTACCCGATGGTTGGAGGATGATTTATTTGGTGAAGGAAATCTTCAGTGCGGCTTTGTTCAAAGGGTAAGTATAGCAGGATGTCACCTCACCGATATTCCTATATTACTATTTATAATTGTTCCAGATTATCCTCAACATTACGTTTTAATTGTGACACAAATTATTTACTCCACGATAACATATTTGATGTCTCCTTTACAGGGTTAAGAAAATAGCAAGGACACTTAAGGCAATTCAGCTTTAATTTGCCCAAAAACGAGTTATGACGTTTCCAGTAAAGTACGTTGTAAGCATTAAGTAGAGAAAGAAATTTCGAAGCAGCGCCTCTTCGGTCAGAGCCGTTTCAGTTCCTGCTATTAAACTAAATCCAAATATTATTAAGTAAACACATCAAAGATCGTAGATTCACAGAGCACCCTTCCCAATCTTAGAACGCTCAAGTTAATCTACAGACTGAAAGACACATACCTCTTATTTTCACGACCAAAAGGCAGCGAACAGCAGGTAGCAACTTAACATTTCCACCTTCTCTGAAAGAACAAATCCAGTTCTACCCTCAGGATACTACCACTCATATTCGGGCGAGTACATTGCAGGGCGAACGTGACGCAAAAAGCAAGTATCGCGGTCACGGGCCCACCAAAGGCGGCAGATTGCGGGCAGGAGATTAACATTTCCACACGCGGGCGGCGCATTTTTCCTTTAAAATAAAGCCGCGCGCTCGCTAATCTGGCTTTGTGCCCGCGCCGCCGCCGCCGCCGCTGCGCCTGGGCCGGCCGTAAGCCCACTTTGGTGCGGGACGGGCGCCGAGTGGGGCGGAGGGGGCGCGGGGCGGGGCGGGGGCGGCGGGGCAGGGCCGGGGCAGGGCGGGGCAGGGGGGCGAGGCGGGGCGGGCAGGGGGGCGGGGCGGGGCGGCGGCGGGGCTGGGCTGGGCTGGGCGGGTGGGCGCGGGCGGCTGCGGCTGGGCGGCGCTGGCGGGGTGGCGGGCGGTGGGCTGGGCTGGGCTGGGCTGGGCTGGCCTGGGCTCTCGCGGCCGGCTCCGCGCGCTCGCCGCGGTGATTTAGCGTTTTGAATTCTGCCGGCGCGCAGACGGCCCTCGCGCTGGTGGCGGCTCGCGGAAGCCTCGTGGGCGGGCGGCGGGGCGGGGCAGGGCAAGCAGAGCGGGTCAGGGCGGGGCAGGCGGGCAGGGCGTTGTAGTGGGGGCAGAGAGGGGCGGGGAGCGAGAGGAGGGGGCAGTTTGGGTCGGGGCAGAGCGGGTTGGGGACACGTGTGGGCGGGCAGGATAGAGCGGGGCTGGGCAGAGGGGGCGGAGCTGGATGGGGTGGGCCGGCGCGCAGGTTGCCGGAGGGGAAAAGTAGAGTGGAACTGGCGGGGAGCAGCAGGGTGAGGTGACGGTGGTGGCCACGGGGTGAGGCTGTTGATGAAGAGAGGTGGAGAGTGACCTGATGAAGATGAGAGGATAACGGTTGGCGAGAGTTCTGGCGGCCTGCTGAGTGCATGAGCAGTGATCTACTGTATTGGGAGTTTACTTCATATCATATGATTTGAAACGAGAAAATTGTTTGAAGAAAGGTTTGTGCTTTGGAATAGGTTTTATACAAGATGCGACAAACAGGTAAGTCAGGTGTAATGAAAATGTAACGGTGATGTAGTGATGAAAATGTGACAAGGTAATAAATGAACATCACCTCGGTAATGCGATAATGGTCGCCAAAGATGTAGGAGTAACACTCAAAAGGAAAGATATTGGGAACGATGAAGTCAGGAATCATCATGAAGCATTAAGAACGCAGAGAGTGGAAATTCAGTCTTTAACCCACGCCCAAATCAACACTCTTGCTATGGAACCAGCAGGGACAATCCAACGCGGTTGGGTATGGTAGAATTCAGCAATCGTCAGTTGGAGGGTAACAAATAGAGGGAAGTGATCAATATTCTCTGGAATTGAATGGAAATTCTTGATAAGTTGAGAGGGATAAGGGGACACTGCTGTACCTTTCAACACAAATTCATTTTCCGTAAAACTCAGTTGCAATAGTCTTGTACAATTAAACAAAACCTCGTGTTCTAGTGAACACATATTTTTGGTGAATTTAAATAAAAAAAGAATATCATTGGCTTAACTTGAAGTATATTAAAATACAGACAATCTCTTGCCATTGAAATATTATTAACCTGAAATTTAACTAAATTGAAAATAATAACGTTTTTTTGCATTCGCCGAACACTTATAAGTATTTTACATATTTTTTATTGTTGCCCAAATTAACCCCAAGAAGATGTACATTCTCTTTTCGAACGGTACGGTACAGCTGGTTTGGTAATTACCAAATTTCAGATTCAGAAATCCAAATATTTCCTTGCTGGCATATTTTTCCATAAAGTCGATTTAGATACTTAATCTGATATTCAGAACCTTCATTATCAAAATGAATAATTTATTCCGTTAAATCGGCATTGTTTTCTCATAAAAAAAGCGAATAAAAACGCAACCGCCAATTTCAAAATTATTACATTCCTTTTATCCCAATTACATCGTCTCTCAATATCAGTCCCCATTTCTTTATTATTTTCGTTGCTCCTAACTCGAAGAATCATAACCTCTAAACACCAAGAATGACTGTCTTTATAAAGCCGTCACCTTATAAACAGTGTTTACAGGTGCATTATGTAAAACTGTTCACTGGTATCTGGAGAAACACAGATGTTTAGTTCAGTCAATAAGGGATGGCAACACCCTGATCTTGCAACGAAAAGCCTGAGGATCTTCAGGGGCCGTACGCGACCTAAAGGGATAATGTTGTTCATCATCATCATCATCATCATCATCATTATCATCATCATTTTAAACAAATTCGTAGTTACGCTATCAGTTATGTCAAAAATGAAAATAATTACAAAGAAGTACTTAATATTTTAGATAATCAACATCTGATGTCAAATTTGTTCAGTTTCATGAACTTAAAAAATAAAACATAACAAAAACAAAAGGCTACTCTTTGAGATGAAAACACAAAACCTTGCGTGCAAATATCAAATGACTTAACTTATATTAAAACACTAATGACTTCTAGATGCACTTGATCTAATATGAATAGCAACCACAAAACGATACTGACATGATCTATTAGATAAGGAGCTCAAACGGTATCAAGGGGGCAACAGTCTCTCCTACTGTCAAAAGCAGGTATCAGCACTTGGTAACAGCGAGTTCCTACAATGGTGAGCATCCTGCATTCTGTAGCACCTACTATTCATGTAAGTGGCAGGACGAGTCTTGGGAACACCTCAGGTACTTTCAGTAAGGGTAATGGATATGTGTATCAGCACGCTCTATTCGTGATCAGCGGGCCAGATCAAATTATCGACGGAATAGCAGTGACGATGCAACGCATGTGGCATTGCACCAAGCAACCAGGCAAAAGTCACCAACTCACCAATCGAAAGTCAGCTGACAGATGCTTCTTTTTCTTTACTGTGATTCCACAACCTACTCCTACGCTAGTACCTGCAATGGATGACAGCTTTCATAGATAGGTGAATATGGCGCAGTAATAATGGAACAAGAAGCAGGACAAACGGAAAACCCTGAGGAACGGGAGAACCGAGAAATGGAAAAGTATCGCGCTTGCGCACGTGTCCCCCCAGTTGGCGGGCAACAAGAAGGCAAGGGTGAATGTGTGTAAGGGGAGAGGACACGACAATGAAGATGAAGGAAATATCACATGCGGTTCTTGGCCCGTTGTTGCACTGCTCCGGCATTCGACTGGTATTAGTACGGAAAACTACCGATGACAGCAGCCGGCCGCTAAAATGATCTTCCCTGCAGCAGCTGAATTCGACCTAACCGTGTCGCAAGTATAGAAAATCCGTCACCGAGGGGTCTCGAACCCTGCGGCCTCCTGGTAGAGGGACTGCAGTGGCATCAGTTGGCGCCTTGATTTCTCACGGTTTAAACCAGTTGAAAAATGAATATTTTTCATATAAACATGCACTAAACGATGTGTCTCTCTTGGAAGAATAATCTGTCCCTAATGCGAGTTTTAGATTTTGGCGTTTCACGGGTTTCTGAAATAAACGATTCAATTAGCCACGCGCCTCGCTCGCGCGACCGTCGCCCGTTTTCGCCGCCCACTCGACAGTTCCGCCACGCGCGCCCGGACAGAAAGTCAGCTTGCGCGTTGGCGTCATGGATCGTTTTTCAAGAGGTGCGTTTGTAAATCTGACGTAACCGCAGTACGTTTTTCGAGGGAAATTGATTTATCGTAGAGTTAATTTTTCGTTTCCCAGCAGCAATGCATCAAGCATAATGTTTCTGCAAAATTTAATCGTCTAAATTCAACTAGTTAGTTCGGAAATATCCTTCAATTCATTATTCTTCTATACATTATTATTTGAGTGAAGTGCAAATTCTAGTATCAGATATTATAAAAAGGAAAAATTCCCAAAAGGAAATTGGGCAGCATGACTCACGATATCAAAGGTTTAGATCATAAAGCCAACGGCTGTTTATCAGAGGATCTGGGTTCGATTCACGGCCTTAGTCGGAGTCAATTATTAGAAGAGTTAAAACATTATTAAAAATTGAATCCCCAAAAAATTATTACTTTTTTCAGTATAATTTTTGTATTTTTGATTTCTGAAACTTGCATGAACTGTCTACATTAATAACAAAAATATAACAGCAATGTTCTATTATTGTAGTATATATTCAATTATAGTCCAATTTGCGTTCAAAAACTACAAGAATGTTGATCTATTATTCTTAGGAAATGAGTTATGGCATTTGTCAGGTGTCTGCTCCATGGTTGCGTATAATTGCAATTTGTGACTTCAAACACACTAGAAAGAAATACGTTTCATTCAAAATTTTCAGTTCTAGTCTTTCTGATCCTGAAAATACTTATCGCTTTCAGTTACTGAAAGTATAAATAAAAACACATATAACACAATTACACATTTAACGTATTATTATTAGTATTTATTTCAACACAGGTAATTCTATTTAAAAAATTGAATTCTAACTATTGCACTACTTTTTTCACCATCATTATTGAATTTTTGATTTTTGAAAATTTCACAAACTGGCTTTATTAATAACAATAAATAAATCAGTAAAGTTATTTTCTTGCAGTACCGAGCACGATTAAAGATGACAGTGATTGTAACCTCTAACTTTCTTGTACCCGCCATTGCAGTAGTCTTGAATTAAGTTGCAGTTGTCGCGCCGGCGGTGCCGCGGGCACGGGTTACCTACTCTCCTGGCCGCTGGCCGAGGGGATGGGCTCGCCGGCCTCGCGCCGCCACGTGATGTTGGGCTGCGGGAAGCCCGTCGCGGCGCAGCGCAGCGTCACATTCGTGCCCTCGCGCACCACCATGTCCGTGCTCGTGGGGTAGTCCAGGATGTCCGGCGGCACTGCAGCGAACCAAACGCTCATTAACACTTGGCTCGTTACTAGGGAAAGCATTGTCGGCATGCTACATTGAGAGCCACAGAACAAATGTTACAAACTTCTAGGGCAAGTACACGGGGAAAAATGTTCACTCTTTGCCAGTGAACACAAGGTTCGAAATTGAATATAACGGGTTTATGCATTTGTACATGCGGAAATTTCCCTTGAATTTTAAGTAACTTCATACGTAAAGATGCAGTCAAGGAGATTCTACTGCCGAACACCAATCTCAGAATATGTTCATTGCCTAAACTTATTATTTTGTACTTCTCTACCTGCCCTAAACGTTAGTAACATTTATTCTGATACACCAGTATATAAATCCTGTAATAGGATACAATTATGACAGTCATTTTATGCCTGTTAAACGACGTTCTTTTGAATATAATTATTTAGGGTTCTGACCATAATAATTATATTACATCTCAAATGTCAAACATCGTATGTACGTGCTTTGAAGACAATCTTTTATTAAAGGCGTTTCAATACAAAAGTTACAAAGTCTCGGGCATGGGGGAGGGGGAGGCGAAGACTTTTCATCAATGAACATGTGGAGGATAATCCCACCGAAGTTGCACGTGATATTTGCCCCTGACTACTCGTTGTGCCCAGGTCTTTGGTAGGTGGGCGTTCCCACGCAAAGAGATTTCCAAAATGCAGGAATAGAGATTTCTATGCTAAAGGAAAGATGGTTTGACGGAGCCCGTTATAAATAAGTGATAAAATGTTTTTATATCGTTATTTTTATTATGCTCAATTGTAGAATAAAGCTTCTACCTCCCTCTCCCTTAGCTCAACTCTGATGGAGAGGCACCGGCAGAAGTCGTGTCCGTGGCGATTGTTTCCATTACTCACCGACAACTTCCAGGTAGCCGACTTGGCTCTTCATGGGGTCCGTGTTGATCTGGCACATGTACCATCCGCGATCCGACTCCCTGACTTCGCGGATTTGCAGGTACCACGTGCGGTGGTCGCTGTGCGACACGCCGATGCGGTGGTTCTTGGTGATGACGTGTGTGGCGATGGTGAGAATAGTCTGCGTGTCCACTCGCAGCCAGGCGACCTACGGCACAAATGGCAGAACATCTTCCTCAACACAACTCAATTCACTTCAATGTTACAACACGTATTGATTTATAGAAAAAATATAAAAATCATTGAAAAATAATGAAACATTGCTAATTCATATTATCATAATACCAATGGTGAACATTAAAAAAATCGTTTTTTTTGTTTTTTTGTATCGTTACGATGTTTTCACATGCATCTGTTCTTTTAAAATCGATTGTAGATGTTAAATGATGCTAGTAACACAATAATGTAACTACATGTTCACTTCGAAGTCAGTACAATTTAATTCTAGCAGAAATATGCACGTAATATTAAGATAGGAGATTTGTAATAACTTCATAGTTTAGTACTTGTGGTTTGAATTATTTTATTAATGACACTGCGTCACATCTTGCGTTTATAATACATTATATTCGTCTTCAAAAATATACATATTCGGTTTGTGCTGCCCATAACGTTCTACTTGAAAACCTTTATCCCTTCGGATGTACGATCCCATACCCCTTAAGATGTCGAATACTAATAAGCCCAGGGACTTTTACTTATTTAACGACTTTAAAGACTTAAATGTAATTTAACGTCTGAGGAAACAAGTAGTATCATATTTTAATTTATTTATATATTTAAGCGTTAATTTACTAGCAGAAAAAACATTTGTATTCATTACTAAGTTACATACATTACTAGTTACATCACAACTAAATGTTTTTATGTTGTTTTCCTGCTGTATCTCCCCGAGGAATAGTTCGTTGGTTCATAATGTGTGGTTCTTTAAACATTAAAGAATTGCGACATAAACTATTCTAAATTGCCAAAAAACAACTTGCAGCCACACGCAACACAGGTTGAACTGCTCGTAATGGCACGCGTGGTCAAGCCAGTTTACAGCTGATCACACGTTGCTTTTGTTTACGTGAACACACATTTAAAAGACTTACAGATAGCAGCAGTCGATAAACAAGAGAACGTGCAGAGAGAGTTTCGCTGCGGCACAAGCCCGATTTAAATTCGTTAGATTTGCAATACCAACTTGAAAGCTTCAGAACGATCCGTATTAATATCCCTATTTTTTCAAGTTTTCGTAAATGTGAGTTGTAAATGACGTCATACGGTTTATTTAATGGCTATAATATCTCAAAGGCTTAAGATTGTTCTAGACTAATGAAAACTCCATCATTAGAAGCATGTTATCACAAGCCTGCATCAGGCGTTACCTGACTGGTCTGCGCCTACCTTCTAATTTCTCCGATGTCCAACTGAAATTCAGAATAAGAGAGGGCCCAAGCAGTTCGAAATAGAATCCTGAAGGTACGTGGTCCTATTTTCGGCTTTTCCGTACCAACAAACGCTCCCTCCTCTGTTGGCGAGAAACTGAAATAACATCAAATGAAAATGTGACCCCACCAAAAGAGCGAAACACTTAATGGTTGCAAGTCCCAAATTTAGCTACACTTTGTAATACCTTGCTTTCAAACAGCCATTTGGCAAAAGAGTATTGCGTTAAAAATTAAAGAGATATATGAGATTAAAAAAGCATATGCTGTGTAGAAAATCATGTATTCGGATCTATAATACAAAATGTTCTGATCGAATATCAATTATGGAACCGTAAATTAATACTACTGATTAATTGCTAAAATTTATTAATAAAAAATGAATTGTAAAATGATATATTGTAAATTGATATGTTTGGTACAGGTAGTACGTAAATGATTATATTACAATGAACAGAGAAATATTATATTATGTAAATTATAAATTATTTGAATGGATATGAAGAGTTTTAAAAAGTAAATAAAAGAGTTTCATAGAAATATTTATGAAATACAATATTTGTTTGTGCCTCTGGAATGCGATTAAGTAATTAATGAAGTATTTTTTTGCCGAGAGATTTGCTTCATCTTCACTGTGGTCCACTAGTCTGTAAAGGTAAATCATAGAACTTGGCAGCATATGCTTTCGCGGCGTCTATTGGCTACGCAGTTTGGGCAACATGTTAACCGCAGTTCGGAACTAAAAAGAAATTAAAATCTATATATGCCAGCCATGATCATCTTCTGAACAATCACAATTCTTTCAGTTCTTTGCTATCCATTACAGTTTGATTTTCAGCTGTCGGTACATCAAAAACAAAAGAATACCAGTAGTATCTGAAGAATTCTCTCTATGTATCTCCTAAACGTTCAGCCCATGGACCTGCTACATTTAATCTCTTTGCCAATGGAAAACCCATTTCAGGTGACAACTGCTGAACGTTAAATTGTACCATATTTGTAAATGAAAAAACACGTTTCTAAAGGGCCAAAGTAGTAACTTCATCAAATCTAAAATATTACTGTGGGTTACCTTTCACTGTGTGCAACTTCTTCCCTTTCATTCTTTTCTGAATAATGATTCACTTCACATTTCGGGTGTTTAGTACGTTCTTGCACATACTAAAGTTTTTGTGTCCTTGAGATCCCAATTTTCTAATACATAAAACAGGACCCTGTTGTGATAATTTCACAGACCCAATGAACCACGCGGCATGTGCAGGCATGTGATTGTGAACTTAGACTTTTTATTGGTTACATGGACATGTTCTTCATTGCTTACAATAACGCTGTAGACATGTTGAATTTTGCTTGAACCTTGTATGTTTACGAGTAAAATTATTTGGGATATATTTGTTTTCGCTCCGGCACATCCGGACTGAAGACGCAAGTGACGGTCATTAGTATTGCAAAGCTAACTCATTTTTCCTGATGGACATGTTTGTTTTTGTATAAACGCTCCTCATTTGCTCTAGGTACTTTCACCATCTCTGTTATACGAATATACAGTTGATCCTGGATATTGAGTGCTCTGATATAATGAACTTTCGGATATAGTGAACCAGGTTAACTGGCCTCGATCCATATATATTACAAATAAACAAAAGATGCTGTAGTGAACGCCCCACGGATGTAGTGAACATAAATACAATTTCCAAGGAAACAAACTTCGCCTCAGGTCACTGAACTCCAAAGATGAAAGGGTTTGCAGGCGGTCAGCCTCGAGAGTTACTTTTCTAGCTTTTGCGGCCAATGAAAGGGTTTGAGGGAACGCCCTACTGAGGAAGTTGTTTCAACGCTTCAAGGCAATTCCATCGAGCCTGATCAACGCGGACAGCGGACAGGAAATGGAAACTAGTGAAATCCCAGAACATGCAAATGCACTGAAAGGGTCTTTCAGAACGAAAACAAAATTACGTGTGAACACAAATCAGAGTCAAATGAAGAAAATGTCCCCAGTGCAAATGATGTTCAAGGATATTAATACAGGACTAAGATATTTTGAGACGTGATACAATATAGAATCAAGTGTGAAGAGAGCTGAGGCCTTGGAGGAGGATCTGGGAAATTTGATAACAATATGTACACAAGTTATGTTAACAAAATATTTTTATACTCAAATAAATAGTTTTATTGACATTAAAGTTCGCTATGTTAGAATATTGTAATCAAGTTCAGAAAAAATCAAACATTGTTGAGAAACTATTTTAATTTTGCCTTTTTGGCTATAGTGAGTCGCAGACGCTCGTGTCCAGAGATTTACTATAATCAGACTCGACTGTACCTCAACTGGAAATCCCAAGTTGTGATCTGCAACATGATCTTCCATATGCACGGGGACTTGCGTTGATTCATCACTGCAACACACGTCACTGCGCACTGCTTTCCATCGCTCGCACCACTTAGCTTCATGCATTTATTCAACAAAAATATATATTCGAATTACTTATATTTCGTTTCGCAGAATAAAATAATCACATTGCATATGAACGTTCAACTGACAAAAAAGAGCGCGTTCTTTGGCACAAAGTATACATTACATTATCTAATGAACACAAGTTCATATTATTTATGTACTGTAAGACATTTTCAAAATTGGCTGAATTTACAAAACATAATAATCATTGAAAGTCAATTCAATATTAGGGCAGTAATACTAAACAATGAGAATAGCGCCGGCAAGACCTCGCATGCAAAAGCGCCAGCGTGGGAATAGTTTCATGTGCCTTAGGGGATTGTCGTGATTTATTACCGTATTGTGTGAATAGAATTTCAGAAGTGTACGTTTATAACGTTGGGTTTTAAAAGGCGTTAAAAGATGCGAGTGTTTAATAAGGTACAGTATCTTTTTACCAGGCTTTTACAACATCTTACTGACTTGCACTTTCAAGAAAATTGAGATTATTTCATGAAAAAGAATACAATACTTATTGACAGCAAGTAATATTATATATACTTTGTCATATCATTCAAAATGGAAATCATACATTTATTATTATTATTATTATTATTATTATTATTACAATAGAATATTCAATTTCATTTATGCTTCTTCTATGTGTTGTGATTTATGAATAGGCCTATCATTGATGATAAGTAATTACATGAATGTAAATATAGCCTCGTGATACGGCGATAAAAGTGGATTCAGAACAAAGCTCATCATATAAATATTCTTTCATGATCGGAAGAAAAGTGTTTTTTTTTGTTAGCAAACAAACTAAAGTGAAGAATTCGCTGCCTAGGGAGATAATATTTATTCTCTAGGGTTTAAAAATAGTCTCCCGTGTTTACTGTATGACAATGAAAACAAGCGACACGCATGAGTAAAAATCTATGTATCTGAACAGAACATGAAACAGAAGTGATTTGTACTTTGCTTCCTCCTCACTGAAATAGACTCCTCAGTAAGTGACGTACTCATATTTAATAGTTCTTTATCTTAATACCAATCTTTAAATTAGTTGCATTATACATTTCTTTATATATTTTGAAATTAAATTTCCAATAGCTTCATTACCAGAGCCAGATATGCATTTATGTTCAGCCTTGGCCTCCATTAAACGCATAGTTTCTTTGACCTTTTCCTTGGTAACAAACGCTATTCACGGGGCTTTGTGCTACAATTACACTTTTGTAAAAATAATGCATTTTTATCCCTTTATGTATAAACTACTATTGTGCCTTTTCATAACAATTTCTGATTTCTGCGAGCATCATTTCGTTTTAAAGACGTCGTTTTCCCCATTGTGCAACAATAATGTGAGTGCTTGACGTTAGACTTATTAAAGTCCCATGAGATATACTACATTAGCCTTTAAAATAATTTTATTTTCGTTTTACAATGGTGAAAGAAGAAGGTATATAATATGTCTCAGAATAATGTAACAATATTCTGCAGTGAAATGGATCGAAAAGTTTAATATTTTCCAATTAAATTTGATGAAAAATTTCATCTAACAGAGTTACACATATGGCATTTTCTCGGGATATTTACAAAACTTATACACAGCTGTTCGGCAGGTCACGTTATGACTCCGGTAATGAGATTTCATTTACTTACTGTACGTCTCTGTATGGGGAGTTGTCTAACAACTAGTGGCAGTTCTTACCGTAGGTACGCATAATATGACTTTTCTATTAAAGAAATTTAATGCAATTAATAGCAGAAAATAGTTGCTTAAATCATATTTCAAAAAGAAAATTAACTTAATTCCAATTACATTTTAGGACAAGACATTTCAACTACTTATTTTCTTTGGCGGTGTAACTCGTTCAGATAATTTGAGTCAATGAACCGTCTGCTATTTCGATGAGTTGAGAATCGTCGAAATGTCATCTAACGCACCAAAATGAGCCGTTCACCCTGCGTCCGCTTAGTGCCGTCCCCAGGGGCGCTTGTGTGCGCCGTAGTGTGGACTGGGATCAGGTGAGTGGCCGCAGAGCGGAGCGGAGCCTTGAAGGTCGGCGGGGCGGGGGGCGGGGGGCGGGGGGGGGGCGCCGTAACGGCGCATGCGGCGATAAGGGTCGGGCAGGGGCAGGGTTGCGGTGGCGCGGGGTCCGCGCCGGTTGGCGCCGCTGAGCCCCGCCCTGACGCGCGCCGGACCCCAGGCGAGTTGAGATCGACAACGCACTGGCACTGGGGGCGTATTGGAAGCGCTGACGAACCGAGATCGTTGGATAAATGAAGGCCTTGTATAGTTGAAACGTTTTCAAACTCATATTGTTGTTTAAGTGAGATCGTTGTCAATGATCTGTGTTTCACTGGGACCGTTTTCTCATGAAAATACGATATTACTGACACAATGTACAGTGAATTGAGGGCGCTGGCGATCTGAGAATACTGTCAATCTCAGATCGCTGCTGCTGAAATACCTGTCGATCTTGCCTCTTGGGACCAATTGGCACAGTTATTTCTACCTTGTAATGCATTTCTTAAAATGAAATTTACAATCCAAACAGGACTTTGAAAATGAGGTCCAGCTCTGTATTTCTTTGACACATATTAGTGTTCAAATTTTCAATTCATGTTAAAATGAATATTTGCGCGATATGGAAATGGCAACAAATATCTATTGTGATATCATGAACATTTCTTTCCTATTCGTTTCGCAGCCATATAAAGTAGATTCTATAGACTTCAATGCTAGTGAAATTTTCATAGTAATTAATTGTAATAAAAGTATTTTTTTTAAAGAAATGAATTATTCCACTTGAGTAATTATTTTGATGATATCTCGTGCAAATTCCTCTACAAAGGTTGAACAACGCGTTAAACGTGTTCCTAGTATTAACTAAAAATATGCGATTTGCATTTGCAGAGTGAATCACAATTATGTACAAGCAATGCTAATTTAAACTGCAGAAAATGTGTTCGTCTGGTAAACGAAGTAACAATATTTGGTGTTTTGGATCATAATAAATATGAATGTTTGGATTCAAAAACTAATGTGCAAAATTGATTATATAAATGTGATTATCATTATATACAATTAAATTCATTATAAAATATGACACGTACATGAAAGTGCGATTTGTAGATTCTATATGTTTCATTCTTTTGCAAATCTTCCTAATCAAGATTAAACATGTTCATAATAATAATAATAATAATAATAATAATAATAATAATAATAATAAATAATAATATTTACTTAATAATAATCCTAAATAATGCAAGCATGTTGATGACTAATTCATGTGTTCGTAGGAGAGATTTTAGCAATTTATGTCAAATATACGTTTATTTCATAATTAAATAATTATACTTCGGAAGATTCGATAACCCATGGTCAAATGTGCTCTCTATCGCAAGGTCGAAAATGTTTGTGACTTCGGCTGAAACGGAGGTGGGGAGTCTTTTTCAATACTCTGATCAATACTGTTAGAAACTTTACCAATTTGTCTCAACCAAATGGGGTTCTTAAAGCGTAAATGAGCTACATCTAAAATTACAGGAAATTGTCTTTCAAGAACATCAGAAACTCTACAGGTAAATATCTCAATTGTGCTACCATTAACTAATCCCATTTCATTTATTGAAAACAATATAATCTAGTTCATTGCACGATGATTGAAAAATCAATTTACACCAGGAATTATAATTTTTTATGGTTTGTGAAAATATTCGTAGGTCTACCAAACTATTTAACGAATTTGTATTGGGTGAAATGATGATTAAAAGTGTAAATGGAAAAACAACTGAAGACTTCGTAAAATGAGTATTATCCTAAGAATTACGAAGATTCGTAACAGTAACGTAAGGTTTGTAATATTTGTAGAACTTTTATCTCCTAAATGCTGTATACGTTTCATTCTATTTCAGTACCAAAAGATTTCATCTTTGTCCCCACTCTTTCAAGCTTATTAAAGTCTTAAGAATCTTACCCCCTCCGTTAGTGTCACGCGATTCTGATTGGATACGTATATGGAACGAGCAAAAAACGTCATATTACGGCGTGAGTGTGCAGTAGAAAGACGCCGCGCAATGCTATTTCACGCAACGCAGCGCGAAGCCTGAGTCAACATACACGTAGCGTCATGTCGCACGTGCGAGCGGAGGTGTGTAAATCAATACGGCAAATCCGCGTTTGGATGTAACTTCATTACTTGCTTCCATAAGCGTTATGGGCTTATAAACTGACGAGAGTGTTAATCCTGGGTTGGCTGAGCTATAACTTCACTTTGTTTAGCAGTTGTCACTGGCAGATTAAATGTGTTATTGATTACTACGGATAAATACACAGCTCGCGAGGGAAGTCACGCGAGATTTTGCATATTTATTCGTCAGAGCTTGTGATATTTGGCAAAGTGTAATTTAAAAAAAAAGCAATAACGAAAATAAAACTGATGGACGGTGTTAGAAACGGTCTACATCTTTACTATTTTAGTAAGTTAAATAATATTCACCTCAAAAAGAGGGCAACTACTGACAATATCTAATAAAACTGCTGAAAAAAAAGAGGTGTAGCTAATTAATCAGTAGCGTTGCGTGTTTGCCGTGAGTGGGGATTCACTTAATGACTTACGCCACATATAAGTACTACATATTGTCAGATAAAAATATAGTGACTTGTGACATCAATTGGTCGCGGTTATCCAAACAGAACTTCGTTACGAATTTAATTTTTGGTATTGATGATCCCGATTGGATGAATACACAGCTGATGATCTGTCTCAAGTATATATAATTATATCCAACAATAGTCGAGTTTCGCAAGAATTTAGAGGGTAAAGTCACTACGTGGACTTCAAAACATGAGATATCGAAATCGATTTTTCGCAGTATACGTTTTCTACACTACGTATACGAGAACTTACATTTCTGAACTATCTGTATTTACGTATGTGTAAAAAATAAAAATTGTGTTATTGTATGAACTGAGCCTTCTTATAAAATTACTAAAATTCATTGTA